ATGTTTCTTCTACTATGCCTAATTAACTCTAAATACCACCCAGAGCCTCTATTTAATTATTAACAAATTTCTTTGGGAAAACACTATGCATAAGGAACAATGTTACACCTTTTATAGTTGATGGATAAGAAGAGAGACCCACTGATAGGAAGTGAGCCATCCCCCAAGGTCGGATTTCCCTGACTCCAAAGGTTTTTCACTTGACCAATTCACTACTTTATCGTTAAGTGCACTTAGCAACTAGTAACAGGAAATCGAGCCACCTAAAGTATGACCCTAGGCTGGATGGCTCCATAGCCACACAATTCAGTAGAATATTGTGGAGGACGAAGGTTCTTTCCATCTGTTTTCATCTGCTGTCCTCAGATATGCTAATTCTCATGGTAGTGAGGTGGCCGCTCCATAGAACTTCCGGAATTGCATTTCTATATTTAACTAGTAAAGGTCTAAGTATGGCTAAATTAAAAAAAAAAAAAAGCACATCACCCTATTTTCTCTTGCACACACTTTAAGAGTTAGGAAATCTTTCTCTGAAGCTCCACAGTAGTCTGACACTCAGAGCTCGTTTAGGGTCATGTGACCCTTCCTTCAGAGATCATTGGTCAGGAGATGAAATGACCAAAATTGATTGGTAGTAATCAAAATTTACTGGGGCTAGGGTTGTCCTTTCCTCAGGGGTATTGTGTAGAGGGGAGATGTGGGCATCTGAACCCAGCAGTGTTTAGCAAAGGGAGATTAGCAGATAGAGCTGGCGAGGGCAGGGCTGTCTGAAGATCACCCGGGGAGGGAGGAAGAGAGGGAAGCCCTGGAAGGGGAAAGTGGGAGAGCAGCCGAGAAAGAAAGGGAAGACGGATCTTGTGCAGAGCAGGAGTTCCCTAATTGCTAATGACAGAAATGAGTGAAATACAATTTACAACAGAGTTGAATCTGACACGGATTTAATGATGTGTGTTGTTTCATGACAGTTCAGGCCAATAGTATAGTAGTTCACATAAATAACTGTAATTATTACTATTCTTGACAGATCTTTATAGTTTTTAATCTTCTGTTGTTAATTAACTAGTTTAAGAACAAGCATCCGTGTTCCAAGACTCTTTTCTTACTCGTAGAGTTAGAGATCTCACTTGGATGTCTGTTGAGGTAATCTCCAGGACTAGGAGCAGCTCATGGTTCCCCTGGTCTTTCCCTGTCCACCCAACCACGTCCAGAAATGAGCCTCTCTTCACGTCCTCAGACAAGTTTCCAGAGGCAGAGAAAACAC